TAAAGTAGGATGTGGAGTTGAAGGATACAATTTTTTTTATTTCTCCTTCGTTTTTGTTTTGTTTTGTTTTGTTTTGTTTTTTAGCTGAGCCATCCTGCCACCTGTTGGCAGCTCAGCGGCAGCTCAGCTCGGGCCTGAACTCCAACCGCTGTTGCTCAGAGCTCACACTCTTGAGTGAGCTCTTAACCAAATGAGCCACTCGGCCAGCCCAAGGATACGTATTTTTTAAAAAGATAAGAAGTTCTAGACCATATTGGGGTGTTGACAAGAATGATGGAGTAGAGAGAAAATATTGATGCTGCAGGAGAGAGGGGGATAAGTGAAGTGGGGCGTTCTTGAGAAAGCAATGGGGTGGGATTCAGAGGACAAGCAGAGCGTCTTGGGCTACGGTGCCTGTTTTCAGGTCATGGAGGTGAAGACCAAGGACAGCAGTGCAGGAGGGGACAGGCGTGTGGATTTGGTGGAGTATGAGGCCAGGGCGTCTGCTGCAAGTGGGGATGACAGAGGAGGCTCAGAGCTTTCAGGACAGAGAAGAAGGGTCATAAGAGTGAGTATGGATCATGGAAATGAATGTAATCAGGAGGCAGTAGCCTCCCAGAGCAGGGATGCATCTCCACATGAAGAGACTAGTCCTAGGTGTTGTGTGGGCCCCATCAACAGGATTCAGCTCTGCCCCATCCAAATCACAACCTTAAATCATAGACCAGTCACTATGCTTCTCAAGGCCCAAGTCTCTTCTTCTGTCACTTGGTGATGATGATGTTTAACCAATTCCTAGCTTGTTGAGCTGAGAGGCAAGAAAGGTGAGGATTCCGTACAGTGACTGTCCCGTAGAAGGGGCTCAATGAATGGCAACCACCATGATTTGTATTAGTTGCAGATCACCGGTTTTCTCCCTCACCCTCAGGCCTTGGCAGAGTCACAATTACCCAGTTTTCCTTTCTGGCATGTCCCCTCCTGTCATTTCAGAATCTTCCTCACTCATTGCCTTAACCTTTTCAAATGATTGTCTTAGACATTCTTGAGGATAAACTGTCCCCAGGTCACCTCTGTGCTTAGATGAGGGTGGAAAAACATCTACAAATTATTTCTCAGACTGCAGAGCATCGAAGTTCAACAGAAATGCGAGCCACATATGCAACTTTAAATTGTCTGGTAGGCACTTTGAAAAAGTAAGAAGGAACAGGTGAAGTTAAATTTTTTTTTTTNCCCTGCATAATTCCTCAACAGGGTTTCTACACCCACTCAACATGCTACAAGGCAATCAGAAGATAGGATGAGTTCATAATTTCTAAATCATTGTTTTAAAATGTTCATACAACAAGGAAGGATGATTGTGCAATGACAGGTGGAGAAGTCCAGTGAGGCAAATTTGTGAAATTATGGGCCCAGCCTAGTTGTAGGGTTGGGGATGGGGGGAACCTATTGCCTCAGATGGTACTTGGATGGATTATGATAGCCGGTATTTGGTGAGCCCCTAAAAGTTGCCAGTCATAGTATAATACATTTGATCATCTCCAAAGTCAACATCCTGGCTTTTGGATAAGTATCATCATTGTGTATTACAAGAGGAAATGTGGCCTTGGGAGGGGAAGTAACTTGTCAAATGACACAATTGTTAAGGCTGTGTTTATCAACACAGATTTCACTTGGACACTCAGCACTTCCTTGTTAGCTTACTCTTATTTCTTTGGCATATTAGTGTTTCCATGTTTGAAATAATAATTTTAGTTCTGCTTTCCCTTCAAAGTAACTAACTTTCCAATCCCTGCTCTCAGCAGATGCCCTTGGCTCATATTTCAATGAGAAAATGGTAACAATTAGTTGTGAACTTTTTAGACTTTTCTCACCCAAACCCTCCTAATTATCTGCAGATGTTACAGTGAGTAGAGAGTTCTTGTTCATTCCATTCAAGAGTTCTCATTTACTCCCTCCCCTCATTTGCTCTGGACCCCTCACCTCTCACCTTCCCATGAATTTCCCTCGTGCACTGTACCTTTTTTTTTTTTGCAGCACAGCCCCAAGATTATATTTCTTCTAGCTCATTTTACGACATAAACATGATCATATCCCTTCCCTCAACAAAGAATCCATCCTCAGCCCATAGCCCTTTCCAGNAACAGGGGAGTAGCATGTGCCGACTAGAGTTAGGACAGTGCTTATCCTGTGTGTGTGTGTGTGTGTGTGTGTGTGTTGGTGACTGGAAGGGGTAGCTTGGGATGTCCTGCTTCTTGATCTCAGTGCTGGTTACACAGGTGTGTTAACCTTGTAAACATTTGTTGATGGGACATTTATGATATGTGCACTGTTCTGTGTGTATATTATACTTCAGTAAGAATTTTACTGAAAGAGAAAGGAGGAAGGGACAGAGTGAGAGAGAAAGGAGAAAGGGAGGGAGAGAGAGGGAGGGTGAGAAAGAGAATCAAAGGAGGGAAGGAGGATGGAGGGAAGGAGAAAGGAAGAGAAAAAGGAGGGAGAGAGGGACAGAGGAGAGGAAATGAGGGTGAGAGAGTACCGCATTTCCCCATGTATAAGACCCACCCTTTTTCGAAAAATTTGAGACCTAAAAACTGGGTGCATCTTATACAGTGGTTGTAGATTTTTTTTACTTGCATTTCCCACTTTTTCGCACTTGTTGTCTTTGTGCTCATTGTTTCGCACTTGTTACCGGTATATTAGGTTACATTTTGCCACGTTCTGCCCAGAAATGGCTCAGAAAAGATTTTTGTACAGTGCTGAATTCAAGTTAAAAGTGATTCAGTTTGCAAAAGTGAATGGAAATCGTGCTGCTGAACGTAAGTTTGGTCCTCCTCCAACTGAGCAAACAATCCGAGACTGGCTATGGTTGGGAGTTTTGACAGTGATGAGGAGTTGCATGAATTTTATGATGAATAAAACTTGAGTTCAGTAACTTTATGTAATACATTTTTTTTCAAATTTCGGGCCCCCAAATTAAGGTGCATTTTATACATGGGAGCATCTTATACATGGGGAAATACAGTACCTTCCTGGCACAGAGGAGGTAAAAAGGTCAGTTTAAGAGTTTTCTGTAGCTGAGGTGGGATGTGTTGACATGGTACTCAGTAGAGACAGTGAAAATCATTCCTTATCCTTCCTCACCAGCAAACCCATCCACACATCTGGAGACACAGAGGGGAGGCTGGGAGAGACACCAGCACCGCAGACAGAAATGCCTGGGTTCCCAGCACAATGGTCAGTGACCTGAGGCAGAAAGACTGCCACTGACAAAGTCCCTCGACTGTCAATTTTATTTCCATGGGCTGGAAATGGCCTCGGCCCCCAGCCTCAGGCTGGGGGCCATGATTTCTGCAACTCTGACATGGAGGAGGCCCCATGTCTGTCCCCCCTAACATATACCCATGGGAGCAGCACCAGCGATGTGTTGAGATGGCTCATACCAGCTCACAAGGAGACGGCTGTCAAAATGTCAGGGATTTTATGAGCCATTGCAATCATATAAAATTGCAATGAAATAAGTGACATCAAAAACAAAGGCAACAAGTTCTTAAAATTCATCACTGCCTAATGACTTAGCTACATTTTGATGAACAAATGCAGTTCCAACATCTATCTTCTTTCTCTCACTTGTGTCTCTCTTGTTAACAGAAACAAAAATACCAGTGAACATTCATGTTGGAACCACACTTGTTCATCAATGATATGAGCTGAATTGGATAATAATCAAGCATTTATATTCAGTCTGATTTTTGTGACATTATTGATGGTGACAGAATTATATAAATTGCTACTGGATTTTGTGAGAAATAACAAGTTGCTTTGAAACTCTCGTGCAGAATTTACACTACAGCGTATGGTATATTGTAGCATTATTTGTAAACTGTGTGCTATGTATTCTTAACAACCAGTAAATTTTATCATAAGCATATGTATATACCGACTTTTTTTTCCCAGGGAGAGCTGGTTGTTAAACATTTCCCGGCACCCCACAGTGTGGAAAACACATGTGCTTAGGATTCTGTAAGAGCCCCGTTCAGGTCCCAGCTCTGTCACTACTTGTGTGAACTTAGACAAGTCACTTCCCTTTTTAAAGGGGAGCTACACCAGGGTGGGACGGTGGCTTGCTTGAGGCCTCCAGCCTTGGAACCCAGGAGCATCCAACTCCTCGAGAGCTGAGGAAGCAAAGGTAGGTGAAGGGTCCCCCTGTTGCCACCTGAGTCAGACATGGAGACACTTAGCTGCTGCTACTTCAAGAACAGCTAACACTCACCTCAAATTCCAGTGTGTGGGGCAGATGCTCTCTCCTCATGTGAAGGGTTCCCTGTGAGAGACAATTTGAGATAGTCCCATTTCACAGATGAGGGAAGAGAGGCTCAGGGGAACGAAGCAGCTCCTTTCCAGGAACACACCGGCTCCTCCCGGGGGTGGGGGGTTGGGGGACACACACACACCCTGTCCCTCCAGTGCCTTAAACTTTGCATCCTTCTGACTCAGGCTGTTGTGTGTCTCCCATGGAGGCAGAGGCTGACCCAGGACTAAAACTGGACCACAGAACTTCAGGAAGGGAGTAGGGGAGGCACACAGCCCAAGCGTGTGTGCAAGAGAAACCTGGGTCTGAAAATTTTTCTGTCAGGGCTCAGAAGGGGATGGCCTCAAGGGTCCAGGGGCCAGACCTCCTCTTCAGCACACAAGAGTGCAGATTCCGGGTGCCTCCTCCCTCAGACCCAGGAGTCCAGGCCCCCAGCCTCTCCTCAGTAACTACCTGGCTCTGTTGCCCCCTTCTGCATCAGGATGCCCAGGAAACTGCTCTTTCCAGACCTCATTTTCCCTCTCTGGAAAATTCTTCAGTGGGAGAGGATGAGCTGCCGAACAAGGAAGTCTCCCTCGGTCTCTGGCTCTTTCTGTTTCTGTTCTCAGGAAAGGGCAGGAGCCATGGAGGAAGCCCTGTGGAGGAGTCTTCAGCTGATTGGCTGACAGGGTCCTCCACTCCTCCTGGCCCAGAGGCCCCACAGCTTCCTCCAGAGGGAGGAGGGTGTGCCATCACCGCTACCTCCCTCCTTCCCAGGATTTGGGCAGAATCTGAGAGGCCTAGGTGTTTTCCAGAGCGCGGGTGTGTGGGCGGAACAGCCTGTGTAACTCCAGCCATCCAGGGCTCCGCTGAGAGCACTGGGAGCCAAGTCTGTGACTTCCTGGAAGTCCAGGGCGAGCTGCTTCCAAGTTTAGGATCTTTGCTGATCTGGGGGGCCTTGCCCAGGATCCCACCTCACTGGGAGCTCCTCACCCTACCCCTGTCAGAACTGGCCACTCTGAGGGGTGGACACCGAGCTGCTGGGTGGGGGGGGGTCCCAGCTCTTGGGCGCTCTCCCTCCCACTCCTCTCCCTTCCCCCCACCCCTCTGCCCTCTTCCCCATCCTGCGCCCTCCTCACTCCTTCCTCCCGCTTCTCTATCCCCCCCCCCTTTTTCTCTTCACCCTCTCCGGCTACCATTCTGACTCTCCAACCTGACCTCTCTCGTTCAACATAAATGCATTGAGCACCGACTGTATGCCAGGCCTCAGTCCAGGCCCTGAGGAAATAGTCATGAACAAAACAGGCAGAGACAGCTTGCATCCTGACAAAGGAGAAGCACATTATACAAAAAAGATAATAAACGGGCGAGTTGTACTTTATGTAGGAAGGTGATAAATGCTACGGGGAGGGGGGGAGGAAAAAAGAAAAGAGGGGGCTAGGAGTCCATGGTGGGGCAGGTATTTTTGTATTAAATAGGTCAGGTGAGTGGGCCTCTCCCTCCCCTATGTCTTTCTTCCCTCTTCTGCTCCCTCCTCTGTCTCTCAGTATCTAGAGTCTTTCAAAGAACTTCCCTGTCACCCAGGACACCTTGCAGAGAAGCCACTTGCCTGGACCCATTTAAGAAGACACAGGCTTCCTCAAGGTACTTCCCCAGGCCTCTTGCTCTCCCTGGTTCTCCCAGAGGCAAGTAATCATAAGATGGTAATCCCGGAGCTGAAGCAGATGTAGTCAGCACAGTCGCAGTGAAAGGCTGAGTCCGCCTGCCATGTCTGCCATCCATCTCCCTGTCTCCTTGCTCCTAGAGGTTTTCTCTGGGACCTCTGCCCCACCTCGCTCTGCATGTCTCTTTCTGAGTGCTCCCCCAGTCCCACAGCTTCCACCTACATCCAGGCTCAGACTCAGAATTCACTCTCCCCCAGAAAAGACCCCGACATGACCCACCACCCAGATACCGTGACTAAAAACCCGCAGTCTCTCTGTCCAGTGTGACCCTCGCAGGCACCCAGAGCTTCCCCTGCCCCTCCGCCATTCAGTCTTCCATCATGGCTCCCCAGCACCTCCAAGACAAAGTCTAAGCCTCTGAATCTGGTATTCAAAACCCTGCATGGGGTGGACCCTGCTATGCACCCTACCCCAATGTTTCACCACTTACGCTTTCACAACATCAATCTGTCTGTACTTTCCTGACTGGCCAGGGCATTCCTTGGCTTGGATGCCCTGCCCACTCCACCTTCCAATGCCCAGAGCCATTCCGCCCTTACCCCAGCTAACTCCTCCAGTATATCACCTCCTCCAGGAAGCCCTCCCTGAGTTTCTCACTGGGTTGGTGCATCCTCAAACTGGTCTGTGATCCCCTGTTTACACAGCTGTCTCCTCCGCCAGATTGGCATCTCCTCAAGGGCCAGGCCCACGTTTGAGTCATCAGTGTGCCGGGCATCGCCCAGCTGAGAGCCCGGCCTACAGCAGTGCAAGAGGTGTCCCTACAGTGAACAAACATTCTTTCCTCTGCCTTTTCTCCATGTCTGCCTTGTTATCTCGCCACTCTTCTCTTCTGTGCTGGTGGTCTGTAATCCACGCCCTGAGGTTTTCTGATGATGATGGAAGTCTTGGGAGGGCCGCTGTGGACTCACAGCAGGGACTGGAGACCAGCCTCCATGGGAGTAGAGGGTTCTGGGAGAGATGGCTGTTAGTAAGGGGAGCAGGAGGTGGTCCCACCACTACCAGCCCATGCCTCATCTGTCCTTGTCTTTCAGCTCTGTCATGGCTGCTTCCAGCCTTGGTTATCTCTTCTAGCAAGGAATTCTGAGAGACTGGACTCCTGGGTCTGAGGGAGGAGGGGGCTGGGGGCCTGGACTCCTGGGTCTGAGGGAGGAGGGGCTGGGACTGAACTCCTGGGTCTGAGGGAGGAGGGGCTGGGGGCCTGGACTCCTGGATCCTAGAGGAGGAAATCATTGGGGTGTAAAATCCTGGTCCCTCCTCCCTTATCCACACTCTGGTTTTAGAAACATCTGGTTTTATACAGCTGCTCCACCCGGGCAGGGCGGGGTGGGGGCTGGGCAGCCAAATGCCCAGCTTCTGAGTGGAGCCTGGGCTGCCCCCACCCCCACTCTGGGGTAGAGGAATCACCCTCCCCTCCTGCTCTGGGCTCAGCTCCCACCGGAGGAGCCATCATCCTGACACAGCCAGACACCAGGCGGTGTCCCAGGCTCCCAGCAACCACGTCAACCAGCGCAGGCCTGCCTGGCTCTGGTGGAGTGGGCGGGGTTTCCCTCGCTTGCGCCCTGAACTGGCCTCCTTCCCCGACAGCCAGGCTCAGGCAAAGGCCCAACCTGGCCCTGGCCCCCCACACCCTGCCTCTCCCGGGAACTCCAGGGAGTGAGGGCTTGGCATCTTGCGAGGAATTGCTCCACGACAGGCTGGACAAGATGGAACAGCAAGGAGAAAGGAGGAATTACGGACAGAAAAACAGAGAAACAGTGAAGGACAGAAGAGTGAGTCAGGAAGAGAGAGGGAAACACATACAGAGACAGAGTCTCAGGAAGAGATACACAGAGATGCAGGGAGACCCAGGGAGGTTAGAGACAAAGATAGATGGATTGATAGATAGATACAGGCAGAGAAAGAAGAAACAGGTAGCCGCAGAGAGGAACAGAGAAACAAAAACTGGAAGACAGAAAAGAAAACGAGACAAGGATACAGTTATTCAGAGAGAAGGAACTAGAAATATGTAAAGAGGGACAAAGGCAAAGAAATACAAGGAGAGGGAGGAAGAGAGAAAGACAGAGACAAAGGATGAGAAACTCAGGAAGAGATACTCGGAAAGAAAGAGAGGCAAGAATAAGAAAGGGAGAAAAAGAGTCAGAAATTTAGAGACAGACAGAAACAAACCCAGAGGGAAGCAGGTAGAAATGGAGGGGGTGGGGAATGGAGAGAAACAGACAGGAACACACAGAGAAAGAACCAGACAGACAGATGGACAGAGAAACAGAGCCAGGGAGACAGACAAAATGGTAGCCTCACAGACAGAGACAAGGAGAGAGAAGGAGATGGGAATGTACAGGGATAAAGACACAGTCACAGACGCGGGGAGGGGAGGGATGGATATTATCAGCTCATAATAAGAGGAGCACAGAGAAAGAACTAGATACAGAGGGTTTTTTTGTTTGTTTGTTTGTTTTTTAAAACGATGACATTTATCACTGAATCTTCTGGTCCTGAGGGCCTGTGGCTCGGGTGTCCAGGAACCCCATCTCTGTGGCCTCTGAGAGAGGCCGCTGACACCTTTACTGTCACTCAGTTTCCTGGGAGGCTCCCTGGGGGCAGGCAGCTAACCAACAATTCTGAGATTACCCCCAGGCCTCTAGGGAGGCAAATCCCAATGTTCCAGCCCCCTCCCCAGCTCCTGGCACATACACATGCACACCCACACATGTATACGCACACACAGACCCGTCAATTAGGCGCTGAACTGACAGACGTTCACTCACAGCTCCAGTTCCAGACAGCCGTGTCTCACAAGCCAGCGCACACAGTCACACCCACAATCACGCACGTGTGTGCATTTTATTCCATCTGCCAGTTCCTGAGACAAGTCCCTGGGGGAACACCACCCAAGATGGATTCTGGGGCTAGGAGAGGAGGGAGAGTGTATGGGGTGACTGTTGTGGGTGAGAGGGGGGGAGGCGAGGAGACCTGGGGGTGGAGGGAAGGAGAGAGAAATGGGGGGAGAGATGAGGAAAGGGAAGTGGGAGGGGAGGGAGGGAGGGAGGCAGGGAGAGAGAGAACACAGAGAAAGGGAGGCTGGACGAAAGAGATAGGGAGAAATAGGAATGGAGAAAAATAGACGGATAGGGGACAAGAGGGAGCTGAGAAAATTGGGGAGAGAAGGGGAGACCTAGGAGGAGAGAGGAGGGCCGTGATGTTGGGGGACTGGGAAGGGAGGCCCGTCTGGGCGCAAGGGGGGGTGGTAATGGCGGGAATCGGGTGGAGCCGCCGTGACCTCAGAGCCCCTGGCCCAGCTCAGCCCTGACGTCAGCCCCTCCTCCCACCCCCGCCCGCACTGGTCTTCAAATGACCCCCCAGCTCTGGAGCCAGAGAGAGACTCTGAGAGCAGCAGGAGAGGAGAGAGCCCAGCCGACCCGCAGCGATGAGACAGGTGTGTGTGTGGGGAAACCGCGCGTGCTCACGATTTCATGTGTGAGCGCAGGTGTCTGTCTGTGTGGGACAGTGACCATGTGAGGCTGAGTGTGCCAGTGGCTATCCCGCCTATACTTATGTGACATGTGACATGTCCATGCTCATGTTGCTATAAGTCCGTGAATGTCTGTGGTTGGGAAAGTGGGGAGAGGAAATGAATGGGGGGGGGCCTCTATATTTGCTTGACACGTGGGTCTGAATTTCTGTTGTGTTCAGTTTAAGTTGAACTTAATGAAATCACCGGATTTTGATCACTCTTGACTGGTTAAAAGGGCACTTTCATATCGCTCAAACTCTACAGTTACTATTTCTTCTGAATCTTGTCTGGTTACTCCAGACTCATGTTGGGTGTCTGTGTGTCTGTTGTCACGTGGGCATCTCTTCCTGGTGTTGTTTCTTCCAGCCAGAGGGTGAAGGACGTATGTCTCCAAGATCAGCAGAGTGGCTGTTGGCAGGGGTCTCAGGATCACTAAGTTCCACCTTAGAACAACTGTCTGGGTGACTGTCCAGGAATGAATGTATTTCTATGTGGGCACATTGTGTATCCCTTATCATGTGTGAGTATAGGTCTGCGGTGTCGACGGTTGATACACGTGTGTTCATGCTTGTGGTGGGGACTAGAACACTGCGGATGCCCACGCATCTTGGTGATTCCCAGCATGAATTGGGTCACCCCCAGAAACTCAGGCAGGGCTCGGTTTGGGACAAGGGGACAGAGCAGGAGGATTCCAGAAGAAACATAATAATTGTTAATATTGAGCAATTACTAGTGCCAGGTGAAAAGCTCCACCTTATCCCTATCTTATAGAAACATAATGTGATCTACATACATAATTTACATTTTTCTAGTAGCCACACCAAAAAAGCAAAAAGAAACAGGTGAAATTAATTTTAATAATATATTTTATTTAACCAATGTACCAGGGGTCAGCAGACTGTACTAGGCCAGATAGCCAATATTTGAGGCTTTTCCGGCCATATGGTCTCTGTTGCAACTAACTTTGGCATGGTGTGAGATCAGCCACAGATAATATGTAACAGATGAGTGTGGCTATGTGCTCACGAAAAGTGATGTAAAGACGCTGAAATTTGAATTACATATAATTTTCATGTGCCACAAAATATTATCCCTGTATAGACTTTTCCCAGCCATTTAAAAATGTAAACACCAGTGTTAACTTGAGGGCCATAGTGAAAAAGGTGGCAGGCACTGGGCGGCAGATATGTATGAGGTCTGAGGTTAGCAACTTGTTGCAACAATGTTGCTAACCTTTTTTGATATCAAAGGGATTATTCATTATGAATTTGTACCAACTGGACAAACAATTAACCAAGTTTACTATTTGGAAGTGCTGAAAAGGCTGTGTGAAAAGGTTAGACGACCCAAACTTTTCTCCAACAATTCATGGCTCTTGCATCACAACAATGCACCAGCTCACAGGACATTGTCTGGGAGAGAGTTTTTAGTCAGTAAGCAAGTAACTATATTGGAACACCCTCCCTACTCACATGATCTGGCCCCCAGTGACTTCTTTCTTTACCTGAAGATAAAGGAAATATTGAAAGGGAGACATTTTTATGACATTCAGGACATCAAGGGTAATAAAACAACAGCTCTGATGGCCATTCCAGAAAAAGAGTTCCAAAATTGCTTTGAAGGGCGGACTAGGTGCTGGCGTCGGTGCCTAACTTCCCAAGGGGAGTACTTTGAAGGTGACTGTAGTGATATTCAGCAATGAGGTATGTAGCACTTTTTCTAGGATGAGCTCACAAACTTAATTGTCCGATCTCGTAGTGTGCTACCTATCAAAAATATTATCATTTCCATATGTAATCAATGCTATATTTTCAGATGCTATATTTTCAATGGAAATACTTGATCTGTATTTAGAGTTTATAAAATTTACAGTCGAAAAAGAACACAGATCTTACTTGTTCCAAACACACTTAAGAGCTTTCCAATAACTGAATCGAGGATCAGTGTTTAAATTTAGATTAAATAAAATGAAAAATTTAGCTCCTCGTATGTCAGAGAAAGACAGATGCAACGTGATTTGACTTACATGTGGAATCTAAAGAACAAAATAAACGAACAAAATAGAAACAACTGCATAGATACAGAGAACATTTTGATGGTTGCCAGATGGGGTTGAGGGGTGGGTGAAAAAGCGGAAGGGATTAAGAAATACAAATGGGTAGTTAAAAAATAGTCATGGGGATTTAAAGTTAAGCATGGGAATATAGTCAATAATATGGTAATAACTATGTCTAGTGCCGGGTGGGTACTAGACTAGTCAGGGGGATCACTTCTTAAATTATATAAATGTCTAACCACTATGCTATACACCTGAAACGAATACCATATTCAATGTAAACTGGAATAGAAAAATTAAAAAGAGAAGGAAGAGGTGAAGGGGAATAAGAGATCCAAATTTCCAGGTACAAAACAAGTAAATCATAGGTATGTAATGTACAGCACAGGGAATATAGTCAATAATATTGTGATAGCATGGTATGGTGTCAGATGGTTGCTGGACTTATCGTGGTGATCACTCCTTTAGGTATATAAGTGTTGAATAACTATGGTGTACTCCTGAAGCTAATCTAATATTGTATGTTAGCTGTATTTTAATAAAAATCTTTTTAAAATTGAGTTCCTCAGTCATGGCTATATTTCAAGGGCTCAGTAGCCACATGTAGCCTGTGAGTTCTGTATGAGACACCACAGCTCTATAACTCCTATAACTCATAAGTCCATAAGGTAGGTGGGGACTGGTGACATTGGAAGGAGTTTAGCACAGGGGAGGACAATGGGCAAGAGAATACACTCCCCCCCACCCCGCCCCGGTGCCTCAGTTTCCTCATTTGTAACAGATGAAAGTACCCATACTTACTTCACGGAGAGCAGTGCGTGGCACGTGGAAGGTGCTAAATCCTCGTTTTACAAGTGAAAAAATGGAGGCACCTCTCCGCTCTGATGTGGGCTCTTCCAGCCTCACATATTGAGCACCTGGCCCTATCAGAGGGGCAGTGGAGGAGAAGCAGGCTATGCCTCTGGGCCATCAGAGAGAAGACTCCACCTGTGAACTTTGTGACCTTGAGCAAACCACTCCTCCTGGCCCATCAGTCCTCAGTTTTGCCATCTGTATCGTGGCAGTAAACATTATCTGCCCTCCAGAGGAATAAACCCAGACTGTAGTTTAGTGACTGGATTCTTAGGGTTCAAATTTTGGCTCCTCTGCTTTCCAGGTGTGACTGTGTGACACAGTTGCCTCATCTGTAAAATGGATGATAACATCACCTGTTGTGAGGATTAAAATAAATTAGTTCCTACAAAAGGCTTAGAGCAGTGCCTGGTACATACCATACTGTATTGTTCTTTTAGATGTACACTATACTATTATTGCTACTATTGTCTCAGCACTAAGAAGCCTTTGATTGTGAGATGAATCATTATTTTATGTGCCACTAAGAAAGGGGGGGACCCCTGTTAATTAAACTGTGATACTCCATTGACTGTAATCCTCATGGATTTAAGAGCTGTTAAAAATGTGAAACAATGCATTAGAATCAATGTAATCAGGCATTCAGCCTTGATAACTGTTTGCCACAATTATTTTAACTATTGAAAAGAACATTTCAGTACTCAGGGGATTTTCTTCCCAAAAAGCAAATGTCAGTCCCTGGCTTGGGGGAAAAAATCCAGGAGGTCTTCCTTCCTGGAGGAGGATTTCAGGACTCTTTCCTTTACTATCTCCTCTCTCTCCTCCCCCGGCAGGACGCGCCCAAGCCCATCCGGGCTGCCCGCCACTGCTCGGGCCTGGCCCGGCGGGTGATGACCATCGCCTTTGCGCTGCTCATCCTCTGCCTCATCGCCTGGGCCTACGCCGCCGGCGTGCCGCTGGTCTCCGATCGCTACGGCCTCCTGGCCTTCGGCCTCTACGGGGCCTTCCTCTCGGCGCACCTGGTGGCGCAGAGCCTCTTCGCGTACCTGGAGCACCGACGGGTAGCGGCAGCGGCGCGGCGGGCGGCGGCGCGGGGGCACCCGGACGCGGCCACCGCGCGCAGCGTGGCGCTGACCATCTCGGCGTACCAGGAGGACCCCGCCTACCTGCGCCAGTGCCTGGCATCTGCCCGCGCCCTGCTGTACCCGCGCGCGAGGCTGCGCGTCCTCATGGTGGTGGACGGCAACCGCGCCGAGGACCTCTACATGGTCGACATGTTCCGCGAGGTCTTCGCCGACGAGGACCCCGCCACCTACGTGTGGGACGGCAACTACCACCAGCCCTGGGAACCTGCGGCGGCGGGCGCGGAGGGCGCGGCGGGCGCGGGCGCCTACCGGGAGGTGGAGGCCGAGGACCCCGGGCGGCTGGCGGTGGAGGCGCTGGTGAGGACGCGCAGGTGCGTGTGCGTGGCGCAGCGCTGGGGCGGCAAGCGCGAGGTCATGTACACCGCCTTCAAGGCGCTCGGCGATTCGGTGGACTACGTGCAGGTGAGTGGAAAGCGCCCCCGCCCCACCGTGACCCTAACACCCCAGTCCCACTGCCCTTGGGGCCTTTGTTCAAGGTAGATTGCAACGAACCTCTTCCTTCCCTTATTCATTCATTCAATGTAGAGATCCTTGCCTGCACTCATTCATTCGTTCATACATCCATCATTCAATATGGAAATCATTCATTCATTCAATAGAGATTCATGCCTTCACTCATTCATTCATACATCTATCTACCCATCCATCCAATATGGAGATTGTTCATTCATTCATTCATTCATTCAATGTAGAACTTCTTTCCTTCACTCATTCATTCATCTATCCACCCAATAAGAGATCATTCATTCCTTTATTTATTCATCCGTTCAATGTAGAGATTCTTTCCTTTCTTCATCCTATGTAGAAATTCTTTCCTTTGCTCATTCATTCATGCATCCATCTATCCACCCAATATGGAGGCCAAAATTTGTTCATTTAGTCATTCATTTATTTATTAAGTGTAGAGATTCATTCATTCCTTTCCTTCCCTTTTCCCATTCCTTCAGTGTTGAGATCCTCTTATTCATTTCTTCATCCATTTATCTATCTATCCAATATAGAGATTCATTTGTTTACTTAGTCACTCATCCATTCAATGTAGAGATTTGTTCATTTATGCATTGCATTGGTTTTCTTTTGCTGCATAACAAATTACCACACGTTTGGTAACTTGAAACCAAACACATTTATTACCTCATAGTTTTCATGGGTCAAGAGTCTGGACAAAGCTTAACTGGATCTTCTGTTCAGGGTATCATCAGGCTGCAGTCATGGTGGCAGCTGGAGCTGGGTCTTATCTAAGGCTCAGGGGCCTCTTCCAAGCTCACCTGTTTGTTGGCAGAATTCATTTTTTTTGCAGTCGTAGAACTCATGGTAGCTTACCTTTTCAAGACCAGCAACAGAAAGTCTCTGAGTTCTAGACCCTTTTTCAAAAGGCTCCCCTGATTAGGTCAGGCCCACCTGAGATTATGTCCCTTTGATTAATTTATAGTCAAGAGATTAGGGACCTTAATTACATTGCAAAACCCCTTCACCATTCCCATTAATATAATCATGGGAGTTATGTCCCGTCACTCTTGCCATATTCTGTTGGTCACAAGAAAGTTACAGGTCATGCCCCCACACCAGAAGAGGGTATTATACAAGAGCATGAGTCTTAGGAGGGTGGGGACCATCTTAAAATGTACTTAGACATTAAAAATGACTAAAAATTCAAGGTTATGTTCATATTGGCTGCCGTGTCACAGTTGCTCCCTACCCACTGCTGCCCTCCCTCAAGCACCAGCTGCATTCAGAAATCTGACCTGCTCCTGGCTCCTTCTTACCCCACAGGTGTGTGACTCAGACACAAGGCTGGACCCTATGGCACTGCTGGAGCTGGTGCGAGTGCTGGATGAGGACCCCCGGGTAGGGGCTGTTGGGGGGGATGTACGGATCCTTAACCCTCTGGACTCCTGGGTCAGCTTTCTAAGCAGCCTGCGGTACTGGGTGGCCTTCAACGTGGAGCGGGCTTGTCAGAGCTACTTTCACTGCGTGTCCTGCATCAGTGGTCCCCTAGGTGAGCAGGGGTAGGGCTTGGGCAGGCCATGGATGAATGGGGTGGAGAGGAACAAGGGGAGCCAGAATGGGCTGAGGATGTGATTGAGATTGTGGACAAAGCTAGGGGTGGGGCATGAATTGGGGATAGGGATAAGAAAGAAGTTGGAGGTGGGGATGCCGTTTGGTGTTGAGATGGGGTTGGAACTGGAGATGAATTGACGTGGTAAATAGGAGTGGGGATGGTGTCTGCGACAGCAGAGGCTGATGCTCCTGTACTTCCTCCCCCACCTAGGCCTGTACAGGAACAACCTCCTGCAACAGTTCCTTGAGGCCTGGTACAACCAGAAGTTCCTGGGCACCCACTGCACTTTTGGGGATGACCGGCACCTCACCAACCGCATGCTCAGCATGGGCTATGCCACCAAGTAAGCCAAGGGGACCACATGGTCAAGTGTGTGGAGGCCAAAGAGTATCTCAATGAGTGAGTGTGTGTGTGTGTGTGTGTGTGTGTGTGTGTGTGCGCGCGCGTGTGTGTGTGTTGGGAATTCTCCAAACCCAAAGTAACTTGCAGAACAATGAGCTCTTCCAAGTGGGATGTTAGAGAGGGAGATACCATAAGGGGCAGAGGTATCAGTTGCATTGAACCGCATGACTCAATGGACTCTCCCAAGTGAGGCAAGGTGAGGGTGGGAATTCCACTTACAAGATACATGAGGTACAATGTGCATGGATGGGATGGCTCTACCATGGAAAGCACAGATTCCCACAGCAGCAGAGATTACTCCAAGTGAGGTAGGAGTGGAAAGAGACAGAGTGGGATCTAACCAGTGAGAGAGCGAGAAGAATCAAGTGAGAGAGGAGAGCACCTAAACTCTAGTAAGTGCTTCAGGAAGAAGAGATGTTATTCAATGAGACTTGGGGGCGTATGAGCTAGAGCAGGTGAAGTTCAGTGGAGTGATTTCTACAAAGCTAGACCCAGTGAAAGGGCCAGAGAGGACTCGGGGTAAACCAAACCCATGCATTCATTCACTCAACAGATATTCATTAAGCTCTGGGGATGCAGCAATTAACAAAAGAGACACAAATTCATGCTTACGTTGATTGGGGAGACAGACACTAGATAAACATGTAGAACATATAGTATGGTAGATAATGATACATGCTATGGAGATAAATAAGCCAGTAAGGGGGGGGGTAGGAAGTTTACAGGCAGGGAATGAAATGCTAAATAGGATGTCAGAGGACAGATAGGGATGGAGGCTGAAAGTCATGCTACTGGAGCAATAGCAAAGGAGTGTCAGGAGAGGAGGACAGAGTTAACAGGGGGTCCACCCATGAAAGGCTTGTGGGCCAGGGTAAGAACTCTGACCTAAGATGAGGGTGCGGCCAGTGTGTGTGTGTGGGGTGTTCAGCAGAGGGGTGACAATGTTGTAACAGGATCCCTCTGGCAGTTGTTTTGAGTACAGACTGCAGGGGGCAAGGGGATTGGCAGGGAGGCCATGGAGGATGCCAAGGGGTGAGAATAGTTTGACCCCTCCTAACAAACTGACTGCTGGTGGCCACTTGATAACAGTCCATAAAAGGGATTCTAGCTTTCTGTGGGTGTGGCTGGAAACCCAGTAGGGATTGATTCGTGATGTCTGCCAGGGCCACAGGAAGGGAGGTTTATGGTTCCCTTGAGAGCGCTAACACATGAGCTGTCCTAGGTAGGAACCATGCCTGGCTTGCTTCTCACCTTGAGGCCTGCCAGTAACTGTAAGTGCAAGAGTATTCGTAATAGAATAGTGATAGTATTAGTAATAGAGTCAGTAACTGCAATGGTTATTAGTAATGGCAATGGTAAGATGAGTCATTGTAAAAATAGCAGTAGATAACATTTATTGAGCAAGTACCATATATTGGTCCTAAGCAGTTGGCATTTAATCCTCATTCAATCCTCACAATACCCCATTAGATAGGAACAATTATTAACCCCATTTTAAATATAACACTGAGGCTCAGAGAGGTTGAGGGAACTTGCCCAGGGCTCATGGGCAGTGGCCATTTCTGGATTCCTGTCGGGCCCCAAGGAGAGCTGTGCTGATGCCTCCTCCCACCGGTACAGGTACACATCCCGGTCCCGCTGCTACTCGGAGACCCCGGCGTCCTTCCTGCGCTGGCTCAGCCAGCAGACACGCTGGTCCAAGTCATACTTCCGTGAGTGGCTGTACAACGCACTGTGGTGGCACCGGCACCACGCGTGGATGACCTACGAAGCGGTGGTCTCGGGCCTCTTTCCCTTCTTCGTGGCAGCCACAGTGCTGAGGCTCTTCTACGCCGGCCGCCCGTGGGCCCTGCTGTGGGTGTTGCTGTGCGTGCAGGGCGTGGCGCTGGCCAAGGCTGCCTTCGCGGCCTGGCTGCGGGGCTGCGCGCGCATGCTGCTGCTCTCGCTCTACGCCCCCCTCTATATGGGGGGCCTCCTGCCTGCCAAGTTCCTAGCGCTGGCCACCATGAACCAGAGTGGCTGGGGCACCTCGGGCCGGCGGAAGCTGGCCGCCAACTACATCCCCCTGCTGCCACTGGCCCTCTGGGCTTTGTTGCTGATTGGCGGCCTGGTGCGCAGTGTGGTGCACGAGGCCAGGGCTGACTGGAGCGGCCCCTCCCGGGCTGCCGAGGCCTACCACCTGGCCGCCGGGGCCGGTGCCTATGTGGGGTACTGGGTGCTTATGTTGACGTTCTACTGGGTGGGTGTGCGGAGGCTCTGCCGGCGGCGAGCAGGGGGCTACCGCGTCCAGGTATGATTCCAGGTACTTGACGTGCCAGCCCAGAAATCTTCAGGGGAGGCAAGAGGAGACCTACCAGGCCCCAGGAGCCATGAACTTGCTAGGTGATTCTCTGGGCCTCAGTTTCCCTCCTTTGGGTCGATCCAAGATTCTTCAGCCTGGACTGTTTGGGGACTGGGTCTCTGGGGTGGGGTATTTATTGATCAGGGTGTAGATTTTGGGGGAGGGGGGAAAGCGGTCTCTACATGCTGTTCTGGAGCCCTTGCTTTCTCCTTGCTCTTATTTAATCTCCATTTGTACTGTGTGGTTAAGATATAATAAAGAATTTTATTTATTTTCTTCTGAAACTGCCCCCCGTCAAATTTTTTTAATTTTTAATTTAATTTAATTTTTTTATGGAGAGGACTGCATAGTTGAGCATTGGAGACTCCTGGCTCAGTCTTCGGTGCCAGCTATTTCAACTAGACAGGATACCACCCCCCTTCCTCAGAGCCTTGGTTCCTTCTAGGGAAAACAGGAATATTAATCCCATTGTCAGGGTTGTTGTGAGGGTGGAATGTCTGTTGTCGAATTTCTCAACTCCTCATTTACAGATACTTATGGAGCACCTACTAAATGCAGACACTGTTAGGCACTGTGGATGTGTTTTCCTGGTCCATCCATTCATCTACTCTCTAAGAAGGGTAACTCATATTTTCTCTCCAACTCCCAGCACCTCCTCCCCCAGTCTCATCCTTAGCTTGCTTCGTAGCTCACTGAGAAAACAAACATGACAAGAAAACTTTCATCAGAGTCCCCACCTCCGTAATTCCCACTCACTTGCATCTGTGCCCACACAGACCACCTTCCCTCATTACTGAGGGTGAACTGTTTGTGCTCCAATGCCCTTCCACGTGACATGCTTTCTTCACTTGGCTTTCAGAATGCCAGTTGCCTTGCTTTGACTGTTTTCCTCCTGGGTTCCTCTTAATGTTGCTGATTGCTTAACTTTGGAGAAACCTCTACTTATCCTCTTATCCATCTACTCATTTCCTCTGTGCATCCAGTACCATGGCTCTGAATGCCTCATTCATGCTCCAGGTGTGAAGAAGGGACTCTGAAACTTTTATCTTGAGATCAGACCTGGGCCCTAAATTCCAGATTTGTACACCCAATTGCCTCCAAGACATTTCCACGTGGGTACCTAGCAACTAGATCCAACTCCTGATATGTTCTCCTCATCCTCCTTCTTAATCCCCACAAAACCTGCTCCTGCAACAGTCTCCATATCTCAGTAAACAGAACTCCATCCTTTCAGCCGCTCAGGCCAAAAATGCTAGCGCTGTACTGCCTACAACAGGAGCCACTGCTACATGGGACTATTAAAATTTTTTCACTCATTCATTCTTTGATTCAATTAGTCACAAAAACATTTACCAAGCATCCACTGAATTCCACTCTGCCAGGCTTGCAAATAAACAATTAAGAGCCAGTGCCTGCCTTCTAGGAGTTCCTCGTCGAGTAAACAGTGTGACCCCTACTTAAGGATACTGACACATGCCTCCGTGACTTCTGTTGTCACAGAGGAGGGACGGGTTAGATTTATCAAAGCTATATAAAAGATTACAATTCAGTTCCTCAGTTGCACTGACCACATTATACATACTTCATGGTCACATATGGCTGGCAGCTGCCATACTGGACAGCACAGATCTAGAACATTTTCATCATGGCAGAGGGTTCTGCTGGACATCGCTGCAGTCCTAACCATTGATCCTTGACCCATCTCTTTTCTTCCTCTTATACCCAACATTCTGATCCGTCAGCAAATCCCACTGGGTCTCCCTTTAGGACAGATCTGGAACCACTCCTCACTTTCACTGTCACCTCTTTGTCCCCAAGCTGCATCTCTTTCCTGGATTAAAGCTGCAGTCTCATACCTGGATCACTCACTGCTTCTCCCCATGGGCCCCTACAGTCAGTTATCCATATAGTAGCTGTGTACATCAAATCAAATCATGACCTTGGCATAAAAACCACCCAAGATCTCATACAGAGGAAAATCCAGATCTTAGTGGCCAAGGTCCTGCATGATCTGATCCCATGCCTTCTCTGACCTCACTGCATATGCATTTCCTAAAGCTCTGCTCCAGCTGCTCTGGCCTCCTGGCTATTCCCCCACACCAGGAACACTCCTGCTTCTGGGTGTTTGCTCCTGCTGTTTCTTTTGCTGGGACACTCTTAACACAAATACCCACATGGCTCACACCCTTATCCCCTTTCTTCATTCAAATGTGAGGCCTTTCCCAAAGCTCCTACTGCTCTCTCCCTCCCCCATATTCCCTAGCTCAGTTTCCCTGCTTTGTTTTCCCCATCACATATATTATCATATACTTTGGTGCATATTTTATTTTGTTTAATTTTCTTGTTTATTTCTGACTATCTACAAGACCCAGAACTCCATGAGGGTGCAGATTTTTGTCTGTTCTGATTTCTTCATTGATGTCTCTACAGTGACTTGAAAATGCCTGGCACATAGTAATCACTCAGTAAATATTCACTGAATGAATGAATACATCAGTGAATAAGAATTAGTATATATCCAGAAGGGCTTATTTTTTAGGTGGGGAAGACACAAAACCAAAAAAAAAAAAAAGTGTTATGCATGAGCTACAATAGGGGGATGTCAGTCACACAGTGAGGGGAGTAGTCAGAGAAGATGACATCTGGGATCCATGCAGTGAGAGAGAAGTGGTTTTGTGAGGTGCAGAATACAGTCCTTTTAAGTATACAAAGAACAACACATGCAAAGGCCCGGAGATGGGACTGAGCTTTGCATATTCAAGAGACAAAAAACTGCCAGTGGGACTAGAGAGTAAAGAAGGGGACAAGAGGGAGGTGGACTCATGCAAAAAATACAGCACTGGCCATACAGAATTGTCATGGGGATTAAATGGGTTAATATATGTACAGGTTGTTCGGGGGAAATAATAGCTGAGTTAACTGGACAGAAAAGGGAGAAAACATTA